GAGAGAGAGAGAGAGAGAGAGAGAGAGAGAGAGAGAGAGAGAGAGCAGAAATGTAGTTTTAACGTTGAGACAAGTCAAGGATTTTGGAAATTTTCTGGTAACATTTTCGGGCAAAAACTGAAGGACATATTATTTCGAGTTAACTGATGCCAGGCGCTATAATACCGTCAAATGTTGATGTCTTTCATGGGGCGAACTTGTAGTTTGGCACTGCTTTGTATTTAGCACTAGAGTTCGTGGCAGGGATGTCCTCCACGTAAACGATCAGGGGCTGTGTATGCGCACACTGTGGGACGCTGAACTCTCAAGGGCAAGACATGCACAGCTCAACAGACGAGTCAGTACTTTTCGAGACTCACGTGGAGATCTTTGGAGGAAATCTACAGGTTTGAACTGAAATGTGGGGGCAAGGTGGTATTTAATATACTAGAGCTCGTGAGGAGCGAGGTGGAGGCTCAGATTGTTCATTTTAACGGAGGCACGCCAGCCATGCCGATGAGGGTAAGAAGGCTCAATATATGACACGTCTGAACTCTAGTATTAGATAAAACCTCTTTGGTTTTAATTAAAGTCTCCCCGCTTTTTTTCTAAGTTAAACCAAAGCGACAAGTAGTCTGGTAGTCTGTTTTACGGGAACTGTTCGTTACGGCGTGATGTTCGTTATTACTTTGTGGTATTAAAATAGAGCTTTGATTTTTAACCACGACATACGGACACAACAACAACAAAAACAAAAATGACATTAACAACAAGACAAAGAATTACAACAACAACAAAAAACAACAGCAACAGCAACAGCAACAAATTGAAAAGGAATAACAACTGCAAGAACAACTGAATTAGCAACAACAGCAACTGCAACAAAAAGAAAAGGAAGAGTAACATCAAGAACAACTGCAATAGCAACAATAACAACGGCAGCAGCAACAACAACAACAACAGCAACTGTAACAAGTAGAAAAGGGAAAATAACATCAAGAACATCTGCAATAGCAACAGAGGCAGAATCAGCAGCAGCAGCAAGAGCAGCAGCAGCAGC